TCATCTTGGGGTCCATTGCCTGTTCCTTTATAGTTGCATCAATTTTGGTAGTTGTTCTCATCTACTATAAAAAACATAAGCAGTCCCAGCCTGAAGTTCCAAGGAGCCAGACAAGTAATTGTAGACCTATGTTGTCTTGGCTTGTATCTAGAAGCCTTTCAGGTTGCACTCATTTTTCTTACTCCATCCTTTCATTTTCCCCTGTTTTTTTCTTCTTTTTTTTTTTGGCTTAGGTTTTAAAGTTCCAATCAAAACGGGAAGTGTTAAGGACTTCAGCTTTGAGGAACTTGAAGAGGCAACAAGTGGTTTTTCTATCACTACCCAAGTTGGCCAGGGAGGCTACGGAGAGGTTTACAAAGGCGTTTTAGCTGATGGAACTGTGGTGGCAATCAAGCGTGCGCGTCAAGGATCTCTGCAGAGTCAGGCAGAGTTCATCACTGAAATAGAACTTCTGTCAAGACTGCATCACCGCAACCTGGTCTCTTTGGTTGGATATTGTGATGAACAAGGCGAGCAGGTATGGTCACTGCAGTCTTATGCATTTCCCAATATCATAACAATATATACTTATGCAATGTAGGAACAAAAAATGTGTTTTCATTTTGGGTTGGGACTACAAAACTGCAGACTCATTTAGGAAATATACAGCTACCAAACTGAATGCAAGATTAACATGTACCTTTTCTTTCCCTCGGAGTTTTGCAGATGCTAGTTTATGAGTTTATGCCTAATGGTTCTCTCCATGATCTCCTTTGTGGTAAATATCTTTTTTTTCTTCAATATCACATATTTTTGTCATGTTATGCTTGTAGTTGATTTTTTTTTGGTACATCTAATTATGGGTTATACAAGAGGAATAACTTTCTCTATTCTCAAATCCCTCTTCATCTGACTCAAGGCTCGAACTTGAGATCTCTAATTTAAAGTTTTAAGCTCTTAACCATTGAGTTATCTCATTAGGGTTATGCTTGTAGTTGATTGTTGAACCATAAAAAAAGTCATTTATTCTTGTTAGTTTCACATTTCTGGTTTATGAAATCAAAGGGTCCAGGAATTCTTTAAGTTCTGCTACCAGACTGCACATTGCTTTGGGATCGGCCAAGGGCATCCTCTACCTTCATACTGAAGCAGACCCTCCTATAATCCATCGGGATATCAAGGCAAACAACATACTCTTGGATAACAAATTGAATCCTAAAGTTTCTGATTTTGGAATCTCAAGACTTGCACCAGTAACAGATGGTGAAGGAGCTTCAGCGCATGTTTCCACAAATGTGAAAGGCACACCGGTAAGTAACTCTGAGCCATCATTTTTCCAACCAGCAAAGTGACATACGGATCAAGAATCTTGATGTGTAAGAAACAAACCCCAATCAATTAACATTTCTATACATGTAATCTAAAACTGATATAATACCAGTATTATCTAAAAATGTAATATGGGCTTTATTGGTGAACAATAAATTTTTGTACCAATAAACTTTTCTGCCACTACAGAAAAAATTGTCTATTGGGATGCTTTTTATTGTGATGGTTTGTACTAAAATTGTACTAAAATAGTATTTGCAATGAACTCTGTTACAATTATTTGCTTTGGGAAAAGACGTTGCAATTGAGTTTTTTTTTTTTTTTCTTTGTAGTGTTATACTATAAGCATAGCTAACTTTGTTTTTTTATTTTAATGCAGGGTTATTTAGATCCAGAATATTTCTTGACTCACAAGTTAACTGAGAAGAGTGATGTTTATAGCCTTGGAATTGTTTTCCTACAACTTCTGACTGGGATGCGGCCTATATCTCATGGTAGAAATATTGTCCGCGAGGTACATTATATATGTTTCACTGAATACCCACAGTAAACGTTTTTCGCATCAGAAATTTTAATCCTTGACAGCAAAAATTTGTGTTTTTCTTCGATCCTTAATGGCAGGTATCTGCAGCTTGCCAATCCGGGATGATGCTTTCCATGATTGATCCGTCCATGGGTCTATATTCTCCCGAATGCATCAAGAAATTCATGGCATTGGCTCTCAAGTGTACCCATGACAAGCCGCAACCACGGCCAACCATGCTGGAGGTTGTCAGAGAGCTTGAGAACTTGATTGCTTCCCTTAAAGATTCCGAAACTGCTCCTTCAGACTCAGATGCCTCTGGTTCTGGTGTATCATTAGGGATTGGGATAGCTCTACCTCATGTCTCTTCTGACAAGAGCGCCCATGACCATGAGCTTGGTGAGTTCATGGGAAGTAATCTTATCAGTGGCGTCATACCAACTATCCGGCCCCGCTGATGCACTTCAATATTACAATTTCCTATGTGCAGAATGAAACAACCTCTCATCAGTTAATCAGTTTGATGAATGTTGAAGAAAAGTACAATGTACAGCTCTTGTTTCTTGTTTGCCGTAGGATAATTTATTACATGTATAATAGTATATCTTTTTACCGTTCTGCTGTATACTCAATTGTAAGATGACTGCACCTGGCCCTGGGGGCTAGTGGCAATAGTCACCCCGGTGCATTCTCCCCTTCTCGGATTGGATTTGAAACCCGTCCTTGCAAATATGTTCAAAAAAAAAAAAAAATTGTAAGATAACTTTTTATGTGAAATGGGAAATGAAATAATATATTTGTACAACTATCTGGATTGTAGATTGTTCAAAGTAAATGGTTAGCTTAACAATTTTAAATTTTAAATGATTAAAATTTACACTCCGATTAACTATTAAGATAAAAGCTCAATACTTACAAAACTCACATAAAATTTACCAATTCAAGCCTATGAGGCTTTCAAGTGAAACCAATGGAAACAAATTTGGGGGGCACGTTATTTTGTTAACTGAAAAGTACTTGGGGGAAATTAATCTTCAAATACTTTATGTTTTAATATTAAGGTACTTCTATTTAATCACTTGACTTGAACATTTAAGGTTTTTATTTTATTTATTCATATTAGTGTCTATGCTTTCTCTTTAATCTCTCTATAGGGAACCATTTTCAAAGTATTGTTGGTTTTGACATTAAAATGTTTAATGCAAGTTCTCACCTTAAGTTTATCTTACAAGTCGTTGATGTTGGTCAATCAAATCCTAATCTAGGATTTGTGCATTAACAACCACCTTCAAGAACTAAAATTAAAGTAATTAGAGTAATGGTTACTCATAACCCTATACTCCGTATGTCTTACAAAAATTGTCAATTTTCGCATAAATTTGTCATAACTTAAGAGTCAATTTGTTAAGATATTCATCATCGACTTGAGCTAAAAGGTGAAGAAGTAAAAGTCTTCTAGAAGCATGTATTTTATTATAAAGTAAATTGAAGCCACACAAAAATATATGATGAAGAGAAAGCTACGTTAGTTGTGTGTCTAGATTTTTGTATGTATGGTAAATTAAAATATTACAAACAAAAAAATACTCTAAAATATGGACAACTGATGTACATCACAAACTTTTGTAAGTAAAAAGAAGGATGAAAAAGAAACAAGACAGCTTTTGTGCGTCAGTTCAATAGAAAAAAATGTTCTGCTATTTTCTCTCTTTGTCAACACAATTTTTTTATATATTTTAAAATAGACAAATATATATTTATTTATTCTTTAATATTCCTATTATTATCTTATCATTTTAATTACCATCCTATCACCGACATAACTAGGGCCCTGGCTCCCCCTCAACTTTTGTGAAACTAAGTACTTTGGTTCACTAAGTTTTCATTTTACTATTTTCATCCTTAATCGATTAAAATATCCTTAATTATTTTTTATTTCTTATTATTTGAGAATATTTTTAGTGATGATAAGAAAGAAGAAAAAAATTAATAATCAATTTAATAAAAAACAATTTAATAAAAATTTTCATAAAGTATTTGTTTGGTGAATGTCATGTTTTATAATCCAAATCATAATGAATTGTAGAATAAGAATGGTTAAATAAGAGTGAAACTCTCAATATTAAAAGATCTATACACATCCAATGATTATTGTTGCACAATTTAAATCAATCTAATTTATACAAAATTTTTTCCTTGCTCGGTAACAGCATTTGCTTTTCTTCTTTTCATTCATTAGTATTTTATACTCAATATATATATATATATGATTATTTTATCCTCCAATTGATAGCGTTTATACCATGTCATCAACTAACTTATTGTTAAAGTTTAAAAAATTTATTTATAATTTTTTAATATTTTTTTAGTTGATGCACAAATGAACCGTTTCTTACTCAATATGTCATTATGCCCCTTTAAGAAATTTCTAGCTCCACCACCATATCCTATGAAAATAAATTTCACTTTATCTTTATATTTTTTCTAAAAATAATATACATAAAAATATAAATTGTTTCCAAATTTTTAATTTAATTTTTTTTAAAAAATAAGTATTATGTGATAGAAGCCATTTATAATCACCGTTAATTTATAATTGGATATGCAACCCTTGCAGTTGATATACGTGCTTGTATTGTGAATATTTTTTTGCCGAAGTGCAGCTGTTGTAAGTGTACTAGCTTCTAGCACTGTAAATTAACAGTAAATTTAACTTATACAGCAACATGCTCATATGTAAACAGGGTAAATGTCTCCAATTTCTATGAGGATTAATGTCTATTTATGTGTTAATGAAGTGTTGATTGCATGAAAAAAGCTTATAAAATAACTGATTAAATCATTAATAAAAAACAATTACTCACTTGTATGGTTTTGATTCATATCCTCAGTATTCTTCCTCCCAATTCCTCTCTTCTTCGAAGATTTCGACTAACTGGTCCATTCATTAAAAAAAAAAAAAAGG